ACTACTACTACTATAATATAATATAACTACTAATACTAAGTTAGTTATTAGTAGTACGTACACTACACTACACACATATATATATATATAAAGAGAGAGAGAGAGAGAGAGAGAGAGAGAGAGAGTTCATATTAGCCCCTGGGGCTATGGAGCTGTAACGACCCTGAATTTTGGGATCTCAAAAATAATGTTGATAGAAATAAATACAAACAATAATAATAATAATAATAATAATAATAATAATAATAATAAATAAATAAATAAATAAATAAATAAAATATAATATAATATAATACTTACATGAAGAAATAATTTTTGAATGAGAGTCCTACCATGTGGACTATTTACATAAAGTGGTCCATAAAAGACCACTCCTTATCTTATTCCTTTTAATTAATGTGTTAGCTTTGTTACCAAAATTAACGTGTTTGGCCCTCTTTCTTGTTACTTTTGACGTGGCAGGTTAGTATGCCATCTCCCATTTTATATTATAATCTATTACCCATTTTATATTCTCATTTAATATTTTATTGACACTTCACTTGAGGTGTCATGAAAAGTACCTCTCTCTCTATCTCCTAAACAAAGTCTCTCTCTATCTTGGATGAGCGTTATATAAAAAATAATAATAATAATAATAAATAAAAAAAAAAGTTTTAAAAATTGATGGTTCATCACCTGACTTGGCTAACTCAACAGCCCCGTCAATGTAGTTGAGAGACCTTTAAAAAGGGTCTTAAAAATTTTAAAGGCCTCACTCTCTCATAAAAACCCTTATTGGGCTTAGTTTTAACAGGGGTTGAGACTCTCTTTCATCAAACGCGCTCTCTCACTCTCTCTCGTGTTTACTGGATGGGAGTTGGAAAATGGTGAGGTAATCTTATATATTAGTTTGGACTTTTGGTTGGAGCTTTATGGATTTTTTGGATGGTAGACCTATTAGAGTTTGGAGGACAATGTTACTAAGCCAATACCAGCCAAGCTTGAGGGGGTCCCCAGCAACAATAATATATTTTGGTAGATGCTTGTAGGGCAATGATAATTACATATCAGGGTAATTTAAGGAGTAAGTGATCACATTCTTTTGAAAAATAGTCAGTTTTCAATAAAATAATGATATTTCTATCCAATATCTTTATTTTATTAGTTTTATGAGTAAGTGACATCATCTGCTTGAAAAATAGTCTGTTTTAATAAATAGTGATATTTCCATCCGGGATCTTTATTTGATAAGTTTTATGTGCAAATGACAGCCTTATTATTTGAAACTGATATTTTTGCATTTGATTATAGCATTGTCTATAAAATGTTTATTTGCGAATTGACATCCCATAAATTGTGATAATTCTGTATTCTTGGATTTCTATAAGAGTTTTTCTATACATACTAGATTGGCAATTATGCTAGAATGTCTTTACGAATTGCTACCTTTTTGAATTTGAGCCCAAAATATTTGACTGGTTATTTTTGAAATGTTATTGAAAGTGACTGTTATTAATGGTTTCAGTGAAATTCATATTAATAATTTCAGTGCTATGTTAAGGACATGATATTGCTGTTTTTGAATGTTTAAAGAGATTAAGAAATACTTTAAGTATGCAAGTGGGCTCATCCGGTTCGCTGGTGAGGTATAAGTGGATCTATCCGGTACATCGGTAGGGATTAATTGGACTCATCCGGTACGTCGGTGAGGCATAAGTAGACCTGCAGAGATTAAGTGGACTTATTTTGGACGTCGATAGGGATTAAGTGGACCCATCAGGACGCTGAT